GCCGGTTAATAACCGCGTAAGCTGGAAATCCTTGGTTGGTGTCGATGAGTTTTCGAGAGGACTGTTATCAGAGCGGCGTGTTATCAGGGACGACTGTACCTCAGGATCGTGAGTCAGAGCGAGGCGAAGAGTGGAGGCCACACTTCTCCGGGTGTCCCCTCCTGGCGGGGACACGTTGGTCGGAGGACAACGACGACGACGAAGGAGAGATCGGCAGCCAAGACCCCAAGACGAAGAAGAAAAGAGAGACGAGGCGGTCGTGGCAAGCGTTACCACGAGGCCGTCTCGAGCGATCAGTTTGGTCGACGTGCAGAGCCGACACGGACGTCGTCGCCGATCGTGAACCAGCGCTATCACCAGAGTGTCACCACCGACCAATAACGCATCTCTCAACACCTCGAGGAGGACTATGACTCGTCCCTTCGTCGCTGGATAAACCATTCCTCGTGTACGTTTTCAATTCGAGTTTTATATATATATGACGATTCGATTCGTTTTTGTAATTATTTTTTTTTTTTTATATATATAATCGATCTGTCTTATTATTTTTTCGATTTTTTTTTATTGGTTTTTGGTGAAACAGTGATAATGGGCGAATAATTTTAACCAATTTTGAAGTTAAGAATAAAGTTAATCGAAGATGAATTTTTACGAAGCAATTAATTTATATAACCGTCGAAGTTTTACGTTACGTTAATAAACTTTGTACGAGCGTTTTAAATAAGATTATCAGTTGAGGTAACTTTGTTTTTAAATTTTAATCGATTAATTTTTCAACCCGTTCAACCCGTTTGGTTGAAAGTATAATAGATTTCGTTGGCGATTAATGGTGAATTAGTAAGAATCCTATCCAAGAATTTGGATGGTGACTTGGAGAATCGTGTTGAGATTGTGAGGCAGTAGGTTAAAAGACCGGATGTGACTAACTGTACTACTAACTTGGTGCGTCGGAGAGAGATCTCTTGTCCCTTTCTTCCATCCAACAATTTCTTTTATCGATCTGTCTGATTTCTTTTTCAAAAGTCGCGCCGATTCTTCTTTCTAATAATATCGATCGGGAACAAACGATCCAAGACAAATTCTCTTCGAACGAATTTCTGATTCGATTATTATCCTCTCGTTGACTCCTTTTCAACCAACCATATTTTTCTCCTCCTCTTCTTTCCTCGCGAGCCGTGCAACCGTTTAAGAAATTGAGGAATATCGTCTGATCGGGGACGACTGTATGGCGTAAAATTCGCTTTAACGGGGAAGTTAGCTTTAAGCCTCGCCTTTTTCCGGTAAGGTCACCGGTAGGAAAGCTCGCCTTATACCGCCATTAGTATAATTAACCCAGATTTTCCCGGATTTATGGTGAACGGCGTACACAGGTCACAGCCGTGCTCGCTATATTGTAATCCCTCGTAAGTAACACCGTTACTTCTTTGCTTCTTGGAATACAATTTTACCGTCGAATTACGAGATAAGAATTAGGCAGATTGCGGAACGGAGGAAAAGTAATAATCGAAGAAAGTTGAATTTTTCTCTTTTTTTTTTTCTCGATATCAATCGAAAAGTAATTATATTTAATATAAAGTACTTTTTCGGAGATTTGACGGATGAATTAATCTCTCGAACAATTCGCACCGAATCGATCGAACCTTCTCTTCGTTTAAATAACGAGACAATAGTAATAAATTCGACTTTGATCCGTTATTTAAGAAAGTTTGGAAGGAATCAGGGAAAATCTAGGCAAGGGAACAAATTCGTAATAATATTCGTGGAACGATTAATAACTTTGGTCCAGGGCGGACACTCGGACTGAACACGAGCGGGTATTCAAGAGGCGAGAATGTCGGAGGGCTGCACGAGTTGCAGGGGCGCGAATTACGCGGGCACCACGCTGCAGTTGAGCTCGACTTCGGGTGGTGGGAGCGGAACCGGGTCCTCCGGCTCTCCAACCTCTTGCACCACCACCAGAAGGGTGCAGGTACGCGCCAAAGTGTTGTACGGGTCTGGGAAGGCGATCGCCAGCTTGCAGGCCCAGGAGAAAGCTGCCAGACACTGAGAAGGTACGTAAAATTATCGTCCATCGAATAAAAAAACTTCGATCGAAAATTTTGAGAGGATAAAAATCCTCTTACTTCGTTTTCCAAATCCATTCCCCTAACATCGGTTGAACGCTATTCGTCGACTCATCGCCTTCCTTAAAATTCTCTCCGTTCGAGCGAACGGAAAGAGCGAATCATCGCGGGCAGAGATTAAAGTTAGCCGTCCACGAATTACCATATCGCATCGATCTAGGCTCCTCTCCAAATCACCGTTTCCAACCGAGAGAATCGAGCACGATGTCACTTCGAATCCGTCTATTCGAGCGCGATTCGATAGATTTCTTCTCCTCTCTTCTCCTGTTGACGGGAGAAAGAGAGAGATCCAACTCGATCCTCTTGCAACGCCATCGCGAAAAACGGTTGGTCGAAATCGAAGAGAAGAGGCGATGCCCGGAGGGGCAACCTGAATAACAGTAAAAATCCGAGGGAAAAGAAAGAAAGAAAGAAAGAAAGAAGAAAGAAAAAAAAAGCGCGCGACCGGCTGATCGAGTAAAAAGCGTGAAGAAAAAAAAAAAAAAATAGGCTCTTGCATCCTTCCTGGATGGATAAGACCGGTCGATCGGCCTCCACGAGGCTTAGTACTTGGTGAACCGTTCACGGGAAGGCCACGCGAATCACACGTTTTGTTCGCGCGATTGTTCGGGATCGTTTGGGAAGGGTTGAACCGTGGCCTAGCTCGGAGACATGCGTCCTTTCTTTTCGTGAGTTTTCTTTTTTCTTTCTTTCCTTCGTTCCTTCTCTCGACTCTTTTAACGTGGAATATCTGTTCCTTTCTTTCCTGGCCCGATCTCTTGTTTCGTTCGTTCGATTTTTATACACATTATATTGGGATTTGCATTACGACAATTGAAAATTTATTCGAGATTATTATTTGTTCGGCATAGGAGAAGTTGTTATTATTGAAAATATCGTTTCGTTTCGAACACTGCTCGAACATTTCACAATCGATGGTCCCGTTACATCTCTCCACATTCCAAATAAAGATTTGTGTTACCTGGTTTATAACACTTGGAATTTCTTTCCGTTGTTATTCCGGCTTCGAATTCAATACGATACCTCATCTTCTCTTTTTTCTTTTTTTTTTTTTTTTCATATTTCCATAATCTTAATTTTCCGAGTTTTCAAAGTTAAAGAATTAAAAGATCTCGGTTCGAAAAAATTCTATCCAAATTACACCAAAGATTTTTTTTCAAGCGAGGAATAGAATTAAGAGTGAAACGTATCGGTGAAGAAAGCCCGTCTCGTCCAACCGATCTGGTATTCTCGGCGAGCGATCGAGTAGAAAAACTGCACGCTAACGAGAGATTTGCATATTAGGAGCGCGTACTTACGCATCGGTGATCGATGATCCAGTTCGATTTCACCGTGACGAGAATCGCGAGATGCCGTGAACGCCTCGCAGCATCGTCGATCGGTCTACCGCGATCGGTGCAATTAAATGCGGCTAACACGGTGGAATGCAAATGCGGTGGCCGCACGTGCTCCGAGCAACGGTATTCAACGCGTGCCAACGGACGAGCGTTCGCGTCGTTTGCTCTTTCGTTCTCCGATTTCGAACCCGTGAGAAAGTCAATGTCACGGCACGGAGAAAATGCGAAACCCGTCGCTCGCCCTCCGCCTCCACGTTTGCCAACAAATCGTATTTTCAGTCTTCGCATCGCGTTCCCTCCGAACTTGAAATTTCTTTCTTCTCCCATCCGTCGTGGGGAAATTTTCTTTGGAAGAGAAGAAATCATTTTCACGGTGATTTCGAAAGAGAATTCGAGATTCTTTTAACAATAAAGAAAAATTAAAACGAATGAATTTTTAAAAAAACCTCTCCCTTCAAAATGATATTTCACGAAAGATGAAACTTCGTTTCTTTCAGCGTCCTCCTCGTCCTTCTCTCCCCCGGTCTGTCGAAATCAGCTGCGAAGCATGGGGCTCTCGAATCGACGGAACCAACTTCGATCGCCACGGCACCGATAAACGAATCGACGAGTCACGTGGAGGACCAACACCGCAATAATTCCGTAGAAACTTTGTTCATCCCCGAGGATCCGAATCAATACAAACAGATTCCGCGGGAATTGTTGGAGCGCGTGGGACAATCGAGGATCGAGGAGAAGATCGCGAACGACGATGATAAGAGCGATCGATTTTCGAAGGTGAGGAATTCAAGGCCGTCGGATGGAGGAGGGAAGGACGAGGGAAGAGTTGTTTCTTCCACGGGGAGAAGCGTGGAGAATAATAATGGAAAGGAATACGCGGGAACTCGGATGGAAAGGAGCAAGGGAGCTGTTCAGAAAGGGAAAATCGAACCCGACGAGCACGATGTATTGGAGGCGGTTAATTTTGGCCTCGACGCTATGAACGAGTTGTACACGGTCAAGGAACCGATGCTTTACTCGATGGGTGAGATAGATTCGTTTCTCGTACATATTCTTGTAGAACGCGTTGTAAATTTTCTTTGACAAAAAGATAACAGAGGTGTAAATCTTTGATAAATCTAGTTCCGAGATTCTCTTCTTTTTCTTTTGTCGTCGCGAAAACGTAATGAGAGCCAGTCGATGGTATTAGAGGCACAGAAGGATAACAGAGGTTAACCGAACGAGAAAAGCGGGCAAAACGGAAATATTATTATTATAATACACGAACTCCGGTTACTCATGATCCTCTGATACGAGAAAGCTTCTTACCGATAAAATCGTATAAAATCGAGGGAGATTGGTTGAACGGAGATAAGATTAAACGCAATAAAGAGAAGAGTTTTATCTGCTCGCGTGTTATACGCTTCTGATACTCGGCCAATCTTTATTGGTATTCTATTAAAAAATAATCAGGATAATCGTAGATATTTTTCGCGATTTTGTTTCCTTAAATTTTTCCGAATTTTCTCGTACCGATACGTAACCGATACATGTCGCAAACATGTCAACAGGCCTTTACCTCGATTCGGACAATCCTGCAAGGCACGTGGCATTTTTTAACGACCAAACAGAGGAAGCAAGAATGCTGGCCAAGTACGGTTACGCTGTTCTCCAGGGCGCCGCGTTGTTCAAAAGAAAGTAAGTGGTGCACCGCCGTTCTCCTCTGCCGTTCTCATCCCTGCAAATTTTCCCTCAAGATTCCCGAACGCACCGACGGACACGCTTCTGTCTCGACGGAGTCAAAGCGATCCGCTCCGACGTAGCTGTCCAAACAGAGGGGTTCCAGACTGTCCAGCGGCTAGTCTGAGGTACAGAACGTCCGACGGAAGCTGTAACAACCTGAAGCATCTCTGGTGGGGCTCGGCCATGTCCACGATGGAAAGGTGATCCGCGCGAGGAATCGAGATATATATATAATCAATAGATACGAGATGTTGGACAGATCTATCTTTACGAAACGTGGATTTTTGCTCGTTTAGATTCTTGCCACCGATATACGGGGACGGGATTCAGAGTGTGAGGAGATCGATAAACGGAGGACCGCTTCCCAGCCCGAGACTCATAAGCGCGATAATTCACAAGGACAAAGATGTCCCTTTGGAGTCTGTTACTCATATGCTGATGCAGTGGGGGCAATTTATCGACCATGACTTGACAGGTGTGAATTCTTGCGGAAATTTCAGAACGAGTCGATCGCGTTAAACAATTTTGGTTCGAACGATTCCTTCGGTATGAGAATTTTCATTTTTGATACTCTTGAGCGCAATAATAATTCATACAATCTATACAATTCGCGTGCAATTTATTTATCGACAGATATGTGATAAACACTCGACAGATGTGAATTTTTCTAAAAATTCGCAACTTTTGTTCAAACAATTCGTTCTCAAGCGGAATAAACAAAGATGTTCCTTTCGCATCGATCAATTACTCGCAATTTGCAATCTATCGATCGTAACTCGACAGATGTGAATTCTTTGAAAAATTACAATTGTAAAACTTTTCGTTTTCTAATACATCTCTGTATACATAGCGTATGATATATCGGGATTAGAATTTTCATTGAATATGTCCGTGTAGCCACCGGACAAAGCAGAGGATTCAACGGCAGCGTGCCGCAGTGTTGCCTGAAATCTGGCTTAGGCTTCCAACCGCCGGAATTTATGGTAATTATCTCCCGAGAACTCGATAATTTGCCCTTCCGTTGGATTAAAACCGCGTGTCCACAGCATCCCGAGTGTTTGCCGATACCGGTCAGCCCGCAAGACCATTTCTTCGGCCCCCTGGGTATCAGGTGTTTAGAATTCGCTCGAAGCGGTCCAGCGCCCAAAGAAGACTGCGAGTTCGGGCCCAGGGAGCAATTGACGCAAGTGACGAGCTACCTGGACGCATCCATGGTGTACAGCAGCCACCCTTTCGTAACAGACTCTTTGAGATTATTTCGAAACGGTGAGAAACCTCTTTCGTTAAAAAATTAAAGTTCTTTCTTATACTCGAGAGGGAGAATTTAAAATTGTATTCGTGCGCAACCAGGCCTGTTGCAGTACGGAAAGATTCAGTCGCACAGGCCGGTGCTGGCCAAAATGGATCCCGACATTTGCAGACGCGGCTCGTTATCGACGAGCTGCTTCAAAGCCGGGGATGGCCGCCTCGTCGAGCAACCAGCCCTCACTTCCCTCCACGTGGTTTTCTTGAGGCTGCACAATAGAATAGCAACGAAACTCGCCGCGTTGAACCCTCATTGGAGCGACGAGAAACTGTTTCAAGAATCCCGGCGAATCGTGGCCGCCATTGTCCAGCACATCACCTACAGAGAATTTCTACCCATTGTCCTCGGTAAATCGAAATCTAAAAGATGAAATTACTCCGAAATTACTCGCTCTTGTCGACGAGTTGTCGGATCCAGATCGACAGAAATCGAGAGGGAGACGAATCGAAGAGGGAAAAGAAATATAATATATTTCAGGTCGAGATGTGATGAGAATATTCGGGCTGGAACTGGTGAGGAAAGGGTATTACGAGGGTTACGATCCGGACGTGAACCCGACCGTAGCTAATGCGTTCTCCACGGCCGCTTATCGCTTCGGTCATTCCCTGGTTCAGCACAGCTTTGTCCGCTTCGACAGCGGGCATCGGCCTATTCTCAACAGTCGGTATATCCGTAGAACAAACGAAACGAAAATATTAACTCCACTTTCACTTGCAGACGTCTCGATTCACGACGAGCTGGCCAATCTCGGCGATTTGGAGACAGCTGGATCCGTGGATCGCCTCCTCCTCGGCCTGATCAATCAACCCGCCCAAAGAAGGGACGAGCACATAAGCGAAGAGCTGACCAATCACCTGTTCCAAACCCCGGCCTTCCCCTTCGGCATGGACCTCGCTTCCATCAACATACAACGGGGCAGAGATCACGGTATCCCCCCGTACGTGGATTGGCGGCAACCCTGCGCCCTGTCCCCCATAAGAAACTTCGACGACTTGGAGAAAGCGATCCCACCGTCGACGGCGAGCAAGTTCAGGTCGGTGTACTCGTCGGTGGAGGACATCGATCTGTTCACAGGCGGGATAGCTGAGAAGTCGGTGAAGGGCGGTTTGGTGGGGCCAACGTTCGCCTGTATAATCGGCCAACAGTTCAACAACCTTCGCCGGGGGGACAGGTTCTGGTACGAGAATTCGCGAGAGGAGAACGGTTTCACGGCTGGACAGCTTCAACAGATCAGACGCGTCACCCTGTCCCAGGTCCTGTGCATCACGATGGACGACATCGAAACCGTTCAACCGTTCGTCTTCTTGACGCGGGACGCTTTGAAGAATCAACCCCTTCCCTGCAACGACTCCCGACTGAACTTGGAGTCTTGGGTGGAGAGGCCGAAGAGCGCCGATACGTTTCGAAGGAGGGGTATACTGGACGCTGTAAAGAGGAGGATCACCACCCCCCCTCCCCCGGAGAACGTTGCCCCGTCGACCACGTCGAGGACCGCGGCCCACAACAATTTGAACCCACCGAGAGCGAGCGTCCATCAGCAGAACAGGATCGTGGTGAAGCGGCCCCTTCACCCGTCCGACAATCTCACCATAGTCGTGCAGAACAACGCCATCAATTCCCCGGTGTTCGTGAACGATGCCATTTACGGGTCGGACATAAGGGTGAATCCTTCCCTCAATCAACACGCGCAACACAAAGAGACGGACGTCCCTCACGTGGGATTGCTGCACATCCCGGTCCACGCGCCCCCCCCGAAACCCATACCCACCGTCCATCCCCTGGGGAACGTTCATCGCCCTTACGCCGACCCGAATAACCCGAATCCTTGGAGGAACGGGTATCGGCCAACCTACCCGTCCGAGGACGTGGTGTTCGACAGTTTCCCCGCTACCAGCCCCAGGCCAACTTTGTACACGTACTACACGAATTTCGTGAAAACGCGAAACCCGGCTGAGAACGATCCGAAATCGAATCCCAACGGTTCCCAACAATCGTCGGTTCAAACCGTTCCCCCGGATATTTGGCACAAGTTGCATTATTACCAATCTTCACCCTCGCCTTTCACGGACAAAAACGGACCGTATCCTACGGCGAACAGTGGACAGAAGGATACCGAAAACAGATACACCACGTCGTGGTCGCCCACCGTGCCCTCCGATCATCCAACGTCGCACCATTCGACGCCGTATCGAACGGGATCGAACGAACGAACGCCGATCCATGAACGCATCGATGACAGAGTGCAGGTTGCAGGTTGGAGTTCGAACGAGAGAGGAAGCGATCCGAACGACTCGTCCGATTATTCGACTCCCCTATTCGATGGGGGGACGGTTTCTATCAGATTTTTGCGACGCGACCCAAGGTTCACGGTGCGACGATCGTGACGGAGGCAGCGGTGGGTTACAAGATCGAGGATAAGACGGACGAGGATGATCGGGTTACGGCGAAATTCCGAAACCGCTGCCCGTTCGATCGGATAAGAAGGAAGGAGAGGCGAGGAAGCCTGGCCAGTATTATTACGAGAGGAACGCGTTGCATCGGTATCCGGATCGAGGAGAGACGTCTAACGGTGGGGGGACGCCGATCGATGATCGCGGAGCCGTTATCGGGGCTTCCGTGAGAAACGAGGAGATTGTCGATGGAAATGCGAACGATACGGTTGGAACGATGAATCAAACGAGAAACGATGATCGTGTAACAGGCGATGACGTGGATCCAGGCGAGGAGATTGAAACCGTTGCATCGAGTTATTATAGGTAGATTTTTTATTGCCCGATGCAATTGTTTACAATCGTAACGAACATTCGCTCTCGATTCTTTTATTATCGCGATTGATAAGTTTCTTATCCTAATAAGTAAAAAAAAAAAAAAAAAAAAAAAAAAAAAAAAAAAAAGAAAGAAGAAAAATAACGCTCGAGATAACGTCCATTCATTGGAAACGTTTATGGATGTTTGCGAGCTTTCCTCGTTTTTAAGCGTCCCTCTTATTACGAAGCGAGGCGATCGAATTAGATCGAATCCCGGTGCCTTGAAATCATATTAACCCTTCTCTTTCCGTTCTCTTTCCAGAACGAGCGATTGGTCGAATCCGGAAGAAGACTCGAGGCTGTGGTCGGTTTTCGAGATGCCAAAAATCCCATCGAGCAGAGCCCCGGTTGCCAAGGAATTGCCTAAGCCTATGAGGCTAAAAAATTACGCCTTCTAAGAATCCTTTTCCCGATTTCATTTCGATAGCATTTTCTTTCTTTCTTTCTTTTCCCATCCCCATCCTTCGAACGATCCACGTTGTTCACTCGATTGCCAATTAATTTAATCTCCACAACGTAGATATACTTAGCAACATTAGTATTTATTACTCGTCTTTAGAGAATATTCTCACCACGTGTAGGATGATAATTTAAGCGTCGTGTTTCGATAAGATTATTTAGCCGATAATGTGCAAGATACACGGTTATTTATATATATATACATGCGGAATAACTCACGCGACGAGCTCGTATTGCACAATGATTGCATGCGCTAAACCATTTTCCGAAAGGGTCGGATGGAATGTAGCCTAGTTTTATGCCAATTTTAAACCGTCTCACCACGCTGCCTGGAACCATTACTCGCTACTATTTTCAGACCCCGCGTGTCGTTGCATCTCGTATACGGCCTGTCCACGCGTTAATTTTAATCGCAACACTTTAACAACGCGCCTCTCCTCGCCTTTCCACTCCGATCAAGTGTTTCTCGATGTACGACGAGGCGTTTCTCTTACACCAACATTACGAACACTTCCGTTCGATCGAACACGTTGTCGTTCCGATTGAAACGCGAGAGTGGCATCGTGTGTGCGCGAATGTAAAGTTGTCTATTACTTGTTTTCTTTGACGCCTTCTTTCTTTCTTTCTTTCTTTCTTTCTTTTTTTCCTTTTTCGCTCCCTCTTTCTTCTTCGTTAAAAGGAGAGATTATTCGTAGAATATTATTCGAGGATTTAATTAAACAATGGGATGACAAAGTTATTCTTTGTCGCCCATTTAGATTATTTTTAGATAGATTTGTAGATCGAGTATGATTTCTAGTTACGAGGTTAGAGGAATCGCGTTGCTTTTAGAAACGGAGAAAGAAGTTTTCTTCGGAAATCGTTGGCAAATAAAGCTCGAATTACTCGAGGAAAATTCGGGCCGTTTTCGTGATTTCGTTGAACGAAACGTCGAACGTTGCTTGTGCAGCTTCTTCAAATTTAACTTGTAAGTTTCGCTTGGAATGTTCTTACATGCAAATCTCTCCGCAAGATGTGCTACCTTTCATACCTTTGTCGAATCTTACTTTAGGAGTGGCAAGAATTAAAATTTCTTTTGTTGTTGGCGAATAAAATAAAAATCACGATCGAAATGAAACGTCCTGTTGAATAACAAAAAAAAAAAAAAAAATTGAAAATAATTGTTTTGATTATTTCCATTTTAAACGGAATACTAAGAAATTTAATTTAATAATTTAATTTAATTTTAATTTTAATTTAATTTGTTCCCGCGTAAAAGATCGTAAATTTTCCGCGAGTATATTTTCGCGTTTGGATTTTACGGCGAAAAGCAGATGACTATTCGGTCCAAGCGATCGCCAGGCGGTGGTTTTCGGGTCAGCGGAGAGGACAGAGGCAACACAGAGTCGATCGAAATGCAATTTTCGATGTCACGACCTGAATCCGATGTTTTTGTGGTTTGCTACGCGTTGACGAAACTCGATGATGAGAAACGATGGAACCTACTCGATTTGAACCGAGTTCGTTCGGGCGATTCGTCCCGTTCGACGTTCGCGCGATATAACAAAAATACCATAAATAATGTATGACGATAAAATGTATATCGTGAAATGAAAAAGGAGAAAAAAAAAAATATTCGCGATCTTTGAAATTTCAAGATGATGATTGTTTGCTTGGGAAAAAATTGTTATTGAATTATTTTCCAATTCCAACTTTCTTCTTAATTAGAAAGAACGATAGATTTTTCCTGATGGCATGCCTCTTCCCCTCCCCCCTTTTTTTCAAGAAGCCAGCTTCGATTAAACTAGTCCACACAAAAGTGGATCTCTTCGTGAAAGCTTGATCGAACTGGTATGGAATACGAATAAAAAGAGCCAATTGTAACTGCATTCCAACTTCTGATTCTTCTGCTTTACGAGAAATTCTTTTTTCTTTTTTTTTTTTTCCTAAATAAATAAATAAAACGTTTCATTCCGATCCTGATGATACCAATTATTTTTAAACTTAAAATTTACAAAACTACCCGATGAATGATAATCGATTGATTGGATTGAATCTAACGAAGAAGTTTGGAAATCATAAACGTGTTTAAGATTGTTATCAACAAAAACTTAGAATTAAGTGTCTTTAATTACGTTTTGTGGAATCAAAATCAAACATTTGTCGATCGATTAAAATTTGTCGATGAATCCATATCTGGAACATAACAAATCCTTGTTATCTTTCAAATTGATTTGATTATTGACGATAATTAAATTATCTGAAGAAGTATTAATTGATTGACAATACTCATTGGAATATACGAAACTGATAAATTCTTTTTAGTTATCAGGATGTTGGCAAGATAATTAATAAATATTTTATATCAATATGTTTTTAAAGCGAGGATAAAAATAAAAGAATTTGAGATAGTAAAGATAATTTTTATAAATTAACGCGATAATAAATTGAAATTGAAATTAAGTAAATAATAAGAATGATGAGAATAAAGGTAGGATGTTTTGGAGGAGAATTAACGCAAGAATCTTGTAAATATACATCTTAAACTGTTGCATCAAGTCAATTAAATGACGTAAGGAACGCAATATATCTTTCGTCATGATTCCCACGTTAATTTATCTTTGCTCCTCCTTTTGTCCGTGCAATTACTGTAGAAAAACAATCATCGTATCGTGCCCGTGACACGACGATTAATTAAAACACAATTTTTCGCGCTAAAAGAACAAGGACACGCGTTTCAAATTTGCGGGAAAAATTGAACGCTCTGATTGGTCCTTTCTCCACACTTGACCAATGTCGACCAATCCTGCAAGAGCGCGAAAATCGATGCTATAACTGCTGTATATAAGCCATTACGACATTTAAATACACTTAAACAAATATCTATGAATTACATTTATCTTTATATCGATAAAAAAATTCAAGAATTATGTCACTATTTTGCAGAACGTTACTCGTTCGTTTCTACGATAACTGATAGGAACAAGTGGACTAGAAACGGGAAGATTAAACTATTAAAATTATATAAAAAAAAACAAACCATACCAAAAAATTCCGTGTAAAATATTTATTGCAAATCATAAAAAAGTGGATAAATTCTTTCGAAATTGAGATTTAATTCGATTTAATTTAATTTAATTTAAAGTAAGAAGAATATAATGGTTAAGGAAGGTCGTTGAACGATAGGAACGAATGGACCAGAACTACGAAGCATGGCTAAGCGCACGGCAACGGCGGCGGAGTGGGGATGGTTCGGTTCCGCGTGCCTCCGAAACGAACCGAGGCATCAGTCCGTAGCGACGCGTCCCGGGCGTCAGTCGCTGCCATGATTTTCGTTTTGTTCTGTGGTTTTCGGCCGAATGCCGTGGTGCATTATGGATTCGCGGTCCTCGGTCTGCTCTCTGTTCTACTGGTGTCGTGTCCAGTTAACTGCCAGGAAACACTGACCAATCGGATGCGTGTAATCAGCGAGGATCTGGACCGGCAGCTGAACGGAATCATGGCATCGCAAGGTCTCAACTACACAACGATTAACACGACCGGGCTGCCCTACAACGCCACCACGAAGTTCAACCCCAAGGGCATGGGCCAGCTGTACAACGTGACCAACACATTCATCGACTGGGTACAGACCAAACAAGCGTATCCTGAGGGTGAGTGACAAGATTATCAGAGATTTTTCTTTTAACACGTTGAGGCATAGGTAGGGTTAGGGACAACTTTTCCACGGCTTTGGTTACGCCCTGTACCGCGCGCTCGAAAATGGCCGGCTGCTTGTTAGTAAACAGATCGCTGTCAAAAAAATAAAAGAATTATACGTGATGAAATTAGATTCATTTGGGGGCTTACTTGCAACTCGAAATAGTAATAGAATGCGAACTATATATATAGAATATTACAGTACCAGGATATCATGAATATTTTTTTTCTTGACTCGTGTCCCATAGACAATCTATGAAATGGAATATATGCGATATATGCGTGTATAATCATCGAAACGTAATTTCTTTTGGAAACGCGATATTTGTATACACGAGTATTTACATACTTCTTATACGTATTTCCAACCAAGTTTTTTTTCTTTTCGTCAAGTTTACGTTATACCTGTAAGAGATTACGACGAGATTGCTTTTACAAGACATCTTGGGATATTCTATTATCGAGAATATTATTCATTCAAATTATTCAAATGTGGTAATGTTTATCACAGAAAATTTTATATTCCTTTTATACGTGTTCGACCGATGAAAAGCTAGTTCGCCAAAAAGTGAAAGGAAAACGATCAAATCTTTCATGGTCAAATACAAACCTCTTATTACGAACATATGTACTACTCCAATTTATCGAAATATTTCCGTCTATTAGATTTAAATCATTATTGAAATTCGCGGTATTCTTCGATTCTTTTGTGGAAAATGGAACAATAATCGTATTTTTTTTATAATTCATTGTTTTAGTACAGATTGTTTTTTTTTCTTTTTTTTTTTTTTTTACGAATGAAAATTTATAACCGCCATTCAAAATTACGAGCATTCGCTTCATCACGATAAATTTCGAGAAAAATTACGACAAATTTATATATCAAAATTATTCTATTTTTCAATATGTCACAACGCAATTGAAACGAATATTTAAAAACTTTATCTTCTCAACAATATTTCTTGGCAATCGATTTATTAATCATCGTTCTTTTATTAATAGATTAGATCTTTTAAAAATAGATGACTTAACTCTTCTAATAGATTTATTGCTCTATCTTTTTTTCCCCTGAATTTCCATCGTCGGGATATCAATCGTTGTCGGTTCCCCCCGATTGATCGAGAATTGGAAAAACCCATTTTTTTTGTCACGATTCAACGAGAGTATCGAGCGTCGTCATTTAAATATTCCCAGGCGAAACAGCGAGGATAGTTGTGTGACAAAAAAAAAGGAAAGAGAGAGAGAGAGAGAGAGAGAGAGAGAGAGAGAGAGAGAGAGAGAAGA